ATCTTCGCTCACTCGTCAAAGAGGTTTTAAAGCACGTTATGAAGTTTCAGAACTATGTAAGTATTTTTAGTTTACATGCTACAGCATAATTCTTTTATTTGAAGAATAGTAGCCGTCATGTTTTCCTCTAATTAACAACTAGATTGTGAGTCGCGTGATAGTTAACGGTGGAGCAGCCCTCGGTTTTGGTTTTTTTCGGTGACCAAGCAAGGCAAATTCAGGAAATCCTGCAATGTGATTGGATCTAGCAGCGGACAGAATTGTTCCCTGCGGCCCGTGAGCCCCGGTGGAATCCTTGCGTTGATTTCTTTTCGTACGCAAATATACATGTAGGGGAATATTTTTTGTTTTCCTATTTTTTACTATAATTACAGCTTTGATTGTAAAAATGCCTTACACCTCTATAGGGATGCAATTTGCAGGTGCGTCACTATGACTACGAGTCTACGAGGGATTAGTACGAGTCAGCTCAGTTGATGGAGCTCTCCACCGATATCGCAGAAGTCATGGGTTCAACTCCCGTACAAGCCTGAATTTTTTTAGGATTTATTTTCAGTACTGCTTAAGCAGTGTTCGTTACTGCGAAGATCACTATCATCTTTTATTCATCAATCCGCAGTTCACATAAATGATATTCCTACATTCACAGTCATTTGTTCGCTTATTATTCCATAGCCTCTGCTGCTTATTCAAAGGAGAAGTGTTACTATGGGAACGTCAACAATGAAAAACTGAGTTTGAAAGGAACTTATGGAACTCTAGAAAGTCCAAAGGAAGATTCTTCATATCCACCGAATATGAGATGTGACTGGGTAATCACTGTGCCAGAGGGAAAGATTGTAAAGCTCAGCTTTGATGAATTTGAATTACAACCCGACTACGGGTCATGTAGTAAAGATTATGTAGAGGTTCGAGACGGGAAAGAAAGCTACAGTGAAAATAAAGGGACATTCTGTGGTCTAACAACACCAGCAGACATTCTCTCAAGCGGACGGTACATGAGAGTGAGTTTCAGATCCGACTCAGATTCTTCGTATGGATGGTTTCAAGGCCACGATGGTTTCAAGGCCACGTTCACAGCAGAGGAGAAGGAAAGTAAGTTGCTTAAATTAATTCATGAGTATTATATGAGTAAGACACCTCTTACCTAGTATATGAAAGGTAGTTTTAGCGAACAGGGTACAAGTGGTGAGTAAACATCTCAGTTTTTTTTATTATTATTATTATTACGGTAAGATGAAACAATAACGTTGCAAAAAAGCTTCCGCCTTTTTCATATAGTTAGTGCTGGTTTGTGTAAAGGGCATTAGTAAGACTTCATGCTAAGATTAAAATTCGGGCACAGGTTTTTCAAAGGATGGATAAAGCCATTTATTAGATAAATCTCTATTTGGTGGATAGTGTAGAACGTTTGGTTAACTCGTATCCGTTGGATAGCGAGTGGGGCCTGGTCGCTAATAGTCAATTTTCAGACACATTAACTCAGTAGTAGTAGGTAGGATTTAAAGTTAGACTTGGGTTTAGTTTTTCATGTTTAACAGCGGTTTGAAGGTGACGTCGCCCCCTTCCTGAGTCGCCCTTAGTTCTGTCGCTTCCAAGTGAAGTTCCGTCACCCCGAAGTATGGTTCCGTCACCCCCAACTTGAAATTGAGTTGCCCCCCAACTTGAAATTGAGTTGCCCCCCAACTTTCAAAGCGGCTTTGAATTGCTCGTCGGAAAAAAATTCAACAAATTAGCTAATGAAACAGTTGACAAAATCAGTTGAGGGAAAAAACAAAAGAAGGCATGATAAGAACGCGGTAAGGAAGGTAGGCTCTAGCTTTCTTGATTATTTATCTTCTTCATTTTTCAGAGTCTTCTTCTCCGCTTATTATGGCCGTCATTGTCGGTGTGATTGTCTTCGTCCTCTGCATTTGTGTTCTGGTATGTATTGCAAAATGCGGGAAAACAAGACGGAATCGATCAGCGGCTGCCAGGATTCCAATGGCGACACAAACTGCTACTGCAGTGTCTCAGACCACACAGGCAGGTGTGATACACCATCCAGCCCCGCCTCAGCAAGCGGCTAGCCATCCTCCTTTCCAAACGGCATCAAATCTTAACCCACCCCCTCCTGTGGGTTTTGCTCCTGCGCCGTCTAACGCATACCCACCACCCCCGGAGTACCCGTATCCATTGCAGCCTCCACCACCCTACCCTGGAGGGGAACAAGTTCCCCAGTATCCACCTCCAGGTCAGTCGTATCCATGGCAACAGAGTGCACAAGTCCAACCCTCCGCGCCTCCCAAGGAACCATAAATTTTGTGTAACTCTCTTTTTGGAGCGGAAAATTATTTGTTCTGAGAAGATTAAGGCGGAAGTTCTAAAATAAGCGCCTTTAGTAGAATAACTGTACAGCTTTAAAGTCGTCGAGGTAGTTACATGTTTTAAAAGAGTTTGGAACACTCACGCACGGTTGTTGATAGAGGCATTTATTCTTACGGTCTTGTGCCGTTGATTCTTCTTTATTCCTTGCCTTGATCTCTTATTACAATTTAATGCTATGGAGCTAGCTAAGCTCTCGACTCTACTCAATTCTATTCAACTCAGAGTGAAAATGTTGTTCACCAGCTTATAAAGGTGACAGTAAAAGGTGACACTACTAGCTTTTCAACTTTCATGCATCATCAACGTTTGTTACGTTTCTCAACCAGCGCATCACGTTAAGCTACGTGAAACAGTTGCTGCATACTAAGTATGTACCTTCGAGATATTTACGCAGTTATAAAATCAATTTCTAACTTAAATTTCTTAAATTTCCAGTCTAGCTCCGGCAAGACAAAAACAAGATTGGCAAAAATCATAGAGAAACCATTGCGTAGATAGAAGTGCACTCAAAAAGATAACTAAAACGAAAACAGCCCTTGAAGTTTGTTACATAACAACAGAATAAATAGAGGATTCGAGGAAGTAGGGGTGTACACAAGTACCGCTCCCAGAAAAGCTACGTGCTCTTAGCACAAGTCATCTAATTAAAAATTCAGT